TGCTTTATCACTGAACTACATCCCCAGCTCTTCTTCTTCTTCTTTTTTTAAATTTTGAAATAAGGTCTTGCTAAATTTCTGAGGCTGGCCTCAAACTTGTGATTCATTTGCCTCAGCCTGCTAGCTGGGATTATAAGTGTGCACCACTGTGCCCAGCTGCATATGGAAATATTTTTTTTCCATATGGCAACGTTAATGGTTGCAGAAAAAGCGTTACACAAAATCCATCACCCATTCCTGATAAAAATTGTTAGAAAAATAAGAATAGAATGGGCCAGTTGCTATGGCACATTCCTGTCATCGCAATGGTTTAGGATGCTGAGGCAGGAGGATCACAATTTTGAGGCCAGCCTGGGTAATTTAGCAAAACTCTGTCTCAGAATAAAAAATAAAAAGCAATGGGGACATGGCTCAGTAGTCCATTTTTCTCACACACATGCATGGACACACACACACACATTACTATATGCTTTTTCTTTTCAAGTTTTTGATGTGGTGAATATCATTGATTTTCATATCTCAGATCAGTCACATCATGGGATAACCCCACTTGGTTGTGATGCATTATTCTTTCATTGTACCGTTGGAATAGGTTTTCTAATCATTTATCAAGAACTTTTATTTTTTGGTATGGGAGAAACATTAGTTTGTGGATTTCTTCTCTTACTATATTTGGTTTTGGTATCTGAGTAATGTAAGCCTCATGGAATGAGTTGGAAAGTATTTCTTTGATTCTTTTTTATTAATTTTTTTATTTATATGACAGTGGGATGCATTACAATTCTTGTTACACATATAGAGCACAATTTTTCATATCTCTAGTTGTATACAAAGTATATTCACACATATCTTTATACATGTACTTTGGATAATAATGTCTATCACATTCCACCATCATTTATAACCCCATGCCCCCTCCCTTCCCCTCCCACCCCTTTGTGCCATCTAGAGTTCATCTATTCCTCCCATACTCCCCTTCCCTACCCCAATTTTTTTGATTCTCTGGAGGAGTTTGTATGAAGTTTGTAATTTTTTTTTAATATTTTGTAGAATTCACCAAAAGAGTCACATCCCTAGCACCCGCCACCCAGGTTTTCAACAACTATTGCCATATATTTTACTTCTGCATATAATACCATAGTACCTTTTTGTTTTATTTATTTTAATAGACTGTAAACTACAATTGGAAAAAAAACTTTTGTATTTACCCATGTAGCTGCTGTTTTTGGTGCTCATTGTTCTTTAGTGTAGATCTGTCTTTCTATCTGGTAACATTTTCTTTGGGCCTAAACAACTTCCTTTAGCATTTTGTACTGCGCGCTTGCTGATGATGCTTTCTTTCAGTTTTTATACATCTAGAAAGATCTTTATTTTGCTTTTTTTTTAAAAATGACATCTTTATTAAGTACATAATACTTGGTTTATAGTTTTTTGTTTCAGTGCTTTAAGAATTTCTCCACAGTCCTCTTACTTTCCTGGTTTCCCATGAGAAGTCTGTTGTCATCCATGCTTTTTTTCCTTTGTACATAAATGTATTTTTCCCCTTTGGTTGTTTTTTTTTTCAGTCTTCTCCTTTTTTTAATACAATATCTTTATTTATTTATTATTATATGGTGCTAAGGATCGAACCCAGTGCCTCAAATGTGCAAGGCAGGCGCTCTACCACTGAGCTATAGCCCCAGCCAGCCCCTTTAGTCGTCGTCTTCTTTATCATCAATTTTGAACAATTTAATTGTGATGTTCCTTGATAAGATTTTACCTCTTATACCTTTTATGTTTGAGTTTTCTTGAGACTCTTGGATTAGTAGGTTTATAGTTTTCATCAAATTTGGAAATAGTTCAGCTATTCTTCTGTTGTTTTCTCTACCCCTTTTCTCACCTGTCCTTTGGGGATTCCATTTATATGTACTCTAAATTACTTGAAATTGCAATACAGTTCACTAATATTCTGTTAATTTTTTAATGTCCTTTTTATCTCCTTTATTTTTACTAATTTAACCCTTTTAACAGAGGGTTTTTTGTTTTTTTGTTTGTTTGTTTTGTTTTTCCTCCCTTCTGTAATACTTACTTGCCATTTACTCCTGGTAAACATTTTTTTTTTTTCCTGAAGGACTTCCTTTAATAATTCCTGTTAATACAGATTTGCTTATGACAAGTTCTTTTTTAAGTAATATTTTTAGCTTGTAGAATTTTAGGTTAATAGCATTTTTCTTTCATTACTTTAAAGGTGTTGCTGTACTCTTTGGGGGCCTGCATTCTTTTCAGTGAGAACCCTCCTGGAAACAGTTTGAGCTTTTAGAAGCTTCCTTTTGAACTTGGTGAGGCCCAGTCAGAGCTGCATTAAGTCTAAAACCAATTTTCCCTAGTACTGAAGGCAGTACCCTTATGAGTACTCTATGCACTGAAAGATCCTCTGTAAAGAAAGGTGTTCCCACTTTCTCTGGTGACAGCCTGAACTACTCTGGGCCATACATGAGATCCAGGGATAGTTCTCCTTAATCCTTTCCGTCCTTATTTCCTCATCCTGGAGTTGTTTCTTTACATCCCATCCTAAATGGTACTCACTTGAAGCCTAAGGGTGATTTGCATAATCTCCCGGGCTCTCCCTCTTTGTAGCTGTTTTCTTTCCTGAGAATTCTTAAATTTCTTTGCCTCCCTAGATTTCTAACTCTTATCTCCTTCACTCAGGGCATTGCTGAGCTCCACCCAGATTTTCCCTTCCTGTGCTGCATACTGGAAAGTAAACTGGGGAGATTTTAGGTCTTATAATATTTTGATTTCCTTATTGTTCAATTTCCTCATTGGTATGAAAGCTGTTGTTTCATATATTTTATTTCTTCTTTGTTATTTCAGCCAAGAGTATAATCTTGTCTTCTTTCTTCCATTTTGGCTGGAACGGGAACTGTTTTGAATATTTGAGATATTTAAGGTACACAGAAAAATATAATGAACCCTCATGTGCCCATCTGCCAGCTTCAGCGTTTATCAATTTAGAGCTAGTCTTGCTTCATTTGTACTTCCACTGTCTTCCCTCCTTATTATTTTGAAGGAGATCCAACAAGTCTTAGTATTTCATTTAGGGATATTTAAAGAAAATTAGGATTTTTCTTAGGGTAACATTCAGTTAATTCCATATACTCCGTTTATTCTAAACCCTTGTCCACATTTAGAATATTGTAAAAATTGGTTTTCAGAAGAATGACTAATAATCATCAAGACAAGTTTAAAATAAGATTGTTTATTTCATTTGAAAAAACAGAGATCACATTTTAGAGAAACTGTAAAACATAATCTCTGGTTAAAAAATATGGAAAGAAAAAAGTTATTATCCCCCCAGAAAAAAAAAAACATAATAATTGGGAATTCAAGTAGTAGTATTAATCTAGCTACAAATTCCAGTTGTACCACATATTGGTTATGTGACAAAAGTAGGTTTTTTTCTTCATTTTCTTATCTGTAAAATGGGAATAATAACATTAGTATCAAATTCAGTTATCTGTGATTCAATATATAAATGTTTTAATAACAAGCTAATTTTTTAATTTTTAAAATGTTTTAAAAAGGACTCATTTGAAAGCTATGTTTATTCTTTTGCTGTATCCTCCAAGAGTTTTAGAATATTTTAATCATCTTGAAGAAAATATATCATTTTGGTAGTGTCTTGTAGATCTTTGTTTTAAAATTAATATTTTTTTCTGATCATAACTACTTTGTTCATTGAGAAAAAAATGGGAAGTTGCACATCTGTCTTAATAATTATATAAAGAACATAAATGATCGTGCATAATGAACACACACACTTTGCAAATGAACTCTGAAAACTTTTTTTTTACCCCAGGTGCTAGAGATCTAACATGCTAGCCCTACTTTTCATTTTTATAGCACAAAATTCTATGGTGTCTTTTCATCTTACTAAATTCTATAACCAGTGACTAGAATGTATGCTTCAGAAGGTGAAGAAGTTTGTCTGGTTGTCTAGCATGTAGAATAGCACTTGTTTTTTCATCTGAGCTCTATAATTTATCAGCAGTATAGTCCTAGATAAGTTATTTATCTTGTCCTTAGTCTCCTCCTAAGTAAGACTTTTTTTTTTTTTTTGGTACTGGCAATTTAACCCAGGGATCTTCTACCACTGAGCTACATCCCCAACCCTTCTAATTTTTTAAAATTTTGGGACAGGGTCTTGCTAAGTTGCCCAGGTTGATCGCAAACTTACAATCCTTCTGACTCAGTTTCCTGAGTAGCTGGGATTATAGGAGTTGTGACATTTAATGAGCTAATGTAGATATAGTATTTAGAATAGAACCAGGTGTATGGTAAGCATTATGGGTTAGTTAAGTATTGGGTTCCATTATTCTGTTACTACCTTTATCATCATTATTATATCATGTAATTTAAAATGATGTGAATGAACAAATTTACTCAACAAGGATACTCATAAGGCTTTTCTTTTTTAAAATCTCTATTCCCACTTTCCTCCTCCAAGATAACCACTATTATCATCAGTTTGATAGGTATCCTTTCGGACTTTTCCTATATATTTATACCCTTGAAAAAATGTGTATGTTTATAAATAAAAAGTATTGGGCACTGTTTCAATATACCTGGTTTCACATTATATCTGTGTCATTTGTTGCTATTTATATTCAGTGATGTATCTTAGGGATATTTACCATTTGCACCATCCTTGACCATCTTTCCATGTTATTGAGTATTTTGAAATATCACCATAGTGTATTCCCCTTTGCTGAATTTTTAAGATTTTTTAGTAGAAATAATAGTGTGATAAACATTTGTTTCTTGTTTTTGTTCTTATTTTTATGTTTTGGTACCCCAGGTGGGATAAAACTGTGACAAACATTTATATTCAAAAATCTTACACACATCTGTAATCATTTTCTTAGGATAAATTTTTCTCTATGAAGATTTTGATATTTTTGTGCAGTGCTCTCCATATGTTTTGATATTACTTTTTAAAAACTATTGAGACTGCTTTAAAAGTTTTATGTTGTTTTGTTTTTTGAAGTATTGAGGGTTGAACCCAGGTCCTTGAAAGACTGCTAGTCTTAATAGGGGGAGGATTCAACTATTTGAATTCCTATTCTTTATGAGGGCCAGGATCACATGCTTGGTACCAGTATGTCAGAATTTTAAAGTGAAACTTGAAGAATACAAAGAAAGTAAGGAAAAAAGTGTTCCAAGCACAATGAAGTACAGTACAAAGCCCCAAGGCAGAAAAGTTGCCATGTTAGAGGCATGGATTGAGACCTATAGAGTAGCTAGAGTGTAGTGAGAAAGAGTCTGCTGTGAGAGGAAGTGTAGAGAGGCAGAGACTAGATCATATAGGGCCTGAAGGCCAAGACAGTTATTTTGAATTTTATTCTAAATGCTGTGATAAGCGATTGAGAGTTTTTAAGCTGGGGGAACTTACTGGTGTGTGGAAGAAGGTTTAGCAATCAGTAAGAGTCGAAAATAGGATGACCAGCTAGGAGATATGGTTGTTTCCTATTTCTTGATCACTTTTTTTAAAAGAAAAACATACCAGTTCAATTTAACAGTTTACTTGAATAAGTAAAAGGTTATAGAACTGGCAGCATTCCAGAGTGAGGGATGGTTTGGAATACTCCCCTTTTACAGTGTAGTGAATTACTTCTACAACCATTAAAATGGGAAAGACATACAGAAATTACCTGATTGGTATGGTCAGGCATTTGACCTAGTTGGGCATAATTTGGCAACCTTTAGTCTGAAATTGGTTGAGGGATTGGCTGCTGTGATTGAGCTCAGCTACTTAGCTATAAGGCTACACTCAGCTAGGTTACACCTGTACACCTGCTTTCTTATCAAATTAGGTTGTAGTTCACTACATATTGAGGGCTCTTTAGATCACATCACCATTCAAGTATGGAGACTGATTTAGGCCAGTTTATTTTACTTAGGTCGGTTTATTATCAACAATTTCCTCCTTTTAGTCATCCTCTCAAGTGTTGAGAGATGGACAAAAACCACAGGCAGTGATGCTACCTCCTAGAGATATTAGGATGAATCCAGTTGATCCTACTACATATTAGTTAGATGAGGTCACCAGGGTGGAACACTCATGATGGGATTCGTACCTTTATAAGAAGAGGACGAAATACCATAAGCTTCCTTTCTCTACCATGTGAGGATACACGTAGACTGCAACCATCAGCAAGCCAGGCAGTGGGCTTGAAATTGGGCTCTTGTTAAGAACTGAATCTGCTGACCCACTGATCTTGGATTTCTCATCCTGCAGAACTTTAAGAAAGACATGTTCATTGTTTAAGCAACCTAGTCTATAATATTTTAACAGCCTGAGCAGGTTAAAACACCTAGGAAGTGATAGGGAGAAAAATATTTTAAAAGTAATGAGAAACTGTTCTAATCCTAGTGCTTATTATTTTTCTTCTAATTTGTGTGACATCCTTAGTTAATATTTCAGCTTTGAATATTTATCCTACTATTTTGCTTAAATAATTCATTTTCCTTTTAAGTTATCTTTTAATACATGAAGGAAGTCTTTTATTTGTTTTTTATTTTTTAGAAGTACTGAGGATTGAACCTGGGGGCCCTCTACCACTGAAATATATCCCCAGCCCTTTTAAAAACATTTTTATTTTGAGAAAAAGTCTTTCTGGGTTTTCCAGATTGGCCTTGAACTTGCAATCCTCCTGCCTCAGCCTCCTGAGTTGGTGGAATTAACAGGCATGTGTCACCATGCCTAGCTGAGACAGTCTTTTATTGTGCTTGTAATGCAGTGTTTCTTAAACTGATTTGAATGTGGACTTTTAATCTTTTTTAATGAAATATCTACCTGGAACATCTTTTGAAAAAGGTAAGTCAGAGGATTGGGTTCCAGTGATTACTAGAGACTTGTAATTAATGTTTTATAAATCAATTTCTTAGATAATATTATATATTATAATGTTATTACAATATTACATATCATATATTATAATGTAATAATTTCTTAGATAATATTATATATTATATTATAATGGGGCATGAATGATGGCCATTCTGGTTTGGTGGAGGAGAACAGATCTTTGGAATCTATAGGTTAAGATCCTAGTTTTAGCCTTCATGAGGCTGAGATCTCTTTGTCCCTAGTTTATTCATTTGTAAAATTAATGGAATGATTCCTTCTTTGTGTGTGTGTGTGTGTGTGTGTGTGTGTGTGTGTGTGTGTATTTTTTTGGGGGGGTACTATGGATTGAACTCAGGGGCACTCAATCACTGAGTCACATCCCTATCCCTTTTGTGTATTTTATTTAGAGACAGGGTCTGCCTGAATTGTTTAGCGCCTTGCTATTGCTGAGGTTGGCTTTGAACTCTTGATCCTCTTGCCTCAGCCTCCTGAGCCACCGGGACTATAGGCTTGTGCCACTGCACTCTGCTCCTTGTATATTTTTTGTGAACAGCAAATGTGATATGTAAGGTACAAACTTCTTTATCTACTTTTTGTTATTCTGTACCATCTTGAATCATAGGGAGTAAATTTGTTTTTTGTTTTTTTTTAAAGAGAGAATTTTTTAATATTTATTTTTTAGTTTTTGGTGGGCATAACATCTTTGTTTGTATGTGGTGCTGAGGATCGAACCCAGGCCACAAGCATCAAATGGTAGGCGAGCACGCTACCATTTGAGCCACATCCCCAGCCCCCTAAATTTATTTTAATGTTAGTAAGTTGGAGAAGGCAAAACAAACAGAAAATGTAATCAAAATAATTCTGAATAAATATAAATACAGCATGAGGTATAAATGTGTTTTACTTGGATGTGTGGAGTATTGGGAATAGAAAAGCTATTTTAAACAAGATTCCAAATATCTAATCAAAGACTTTTTATACACCTTACCTTCAGTGAGAATGACTGTTATTCAAAAGATGAAAGCAAACAAGTGTAGGCAAGGATTTGGAGAAAAGGGAACCCTTTCACACTTTGGGGGAATTGTAAATTAGTACAGCCAATATGAAAAACAGTATGGCGTTTCCTCAAAAAAATCAAAAGTAGAACTATCATATGATCCAGAAATCCTACTACTGGGTATACATATCTAAAGGAAATGAAATCAGTATATTGAAGAGACATTTGCACTCCCATATGTATTGCAGCACTATTCATTATAACCAAGGAACAGAAACAACCTAAGTGTCCATCAGCAATGAAAAAGAAAATGTGGTACATTTTACAACAGTACATTTCATGGTACTGTTGGACCATGAAAGTGAATGAAATTCCATAATTTGTGACAACATGGATGGAAGTGGATATCATTATGATAAGTGAAAACAAGCCAGGCAGAGAAAGACAAGTATTGGTTGTTTTCACTCTTAGATGGAATCTAAAATTCCCTCAGAAAAGTTGAGAGTAGAATGATAGTTACCAGCAGGCAGGGGGAGATAGAGAAAGGTCAATCAATTATAGTTGGAGTGAGAAGTTCAAACAGGCAGATTGCCTAGTTTGAACTCACCTGGGCAACTTAGTGAGTGT